AACACTTGCATGGAATGGATAATGGGCAGAGCTACTATTCAAAGTCATTGTGGAGCAACACTGGGCAATATCAAGGTTACCGACCTTGACTTTGCTGATGATGTTGCCATTCTATCTGAGTCTTTGGAATCCTTAGTGGTGGCTCTCGATGCATTTAGTAATGAAGCGAAGCCCTTGGGTCTAGAGGTCTCCTGGACCAAGACCAAGATCCAGGACTTTGGGGACATATTAAGAGAACCTGTTCAGTTGGTACGTGCTTGTGGCGAGGACATTGATGTCACAGAGAGCTTTACATACCTTGGCAGTGTAGTTCATAACTCTGGGCTATCAGACCATGAAGTCAGCAGACGGATTGGCCTGGCAGCAGGGGTCATGAACTCTCTCGACAAGAGTATTTGGAGACGTCGGTACCTGTGCAGAAGGACCAAGCTTCGTGTCTTCAAGGCCCTGATAGTGCCAGTTTTGCTATACGGTAGTGAAACCTGGACACTATCCTGCGCCTTGAAGTCTCGACTTGATGCCTTTTGTAATAGGTCCTTGCGCCGGATCATGGGGTACTGTTGGCGGGACCATGTGTCCAACCAACGGCTGCACCGTGAGACTGGCACAGGACCTGTTACCTGCACAATCCGTGATCGCCAACTCAGGCTTTACAGTCACCTGGCTCGCTTCCCTCAGGATGATCCCGCCCACCAGGTTGTCTCTGTTCGAGACAACCCTAGGTGGAGGAGACCTGTGGATCGACCTAGGAAGTCGTGGCTTGGGCAGATCGATCAAACCTGTCGTGAGGAGCTTGAGATGGCCGAGTCCCTGCCTGGCGACTTGCCATGAGGGATCCTCGCAGGTACAAGCAAAGGGAGGACGCAGCTATGCGCCCCCGTCGGCGTTAGCTCCGCAATGATGATGATAAGTTTTAAGCTGGTACATGATTCTAATACAGTTCTTTAGTTCTTTTGATAGAAACATTTAAATCTTGTCAGTGTCGAACGAATCTATCATTTCCTTTGCAAACGAAGCATAACTATGATATCGGTCCCGATAACGGGCAATGATAGGCCTACATATCAGGGAATTTCTTGAAAAATCAGTTGAATAATAACAAGCATAGTATATTAACACATTCCAGGGATGTATAGGGGCTCCGCCCTCTTAAACCCCTTTCAGAGGGAGCTATCGCCCCCCCCACCTCCCAACTGGTCGACAAAATCTTCACCTCGTATGTTCCGGCTGGATAGAGCCCGGGCAAACTAGGTATCTTGTAGTGGACCGCCTGTATCCGTCCACAGCGATCCCCTATGTGTCTCTTTCACCCCGTCTTTTTTGAGATGAAGGATTATATCCAGCCTCGCGCCACGGCGGAGGTCCCGTGTTTTTCCGCCTCCTGGCTCACCCACAACCCCTGTTTTTATCCCCTGGGGGTGAGGATGCCCATCGCGGTGAGAAGGCTGCGGCCCACAGAAAACGGGAAGCACACCTGGAAGGACTCACCTGCTTTTCTCTTTGTTTTACTGTTTTTTTTTTTTTTTTTTTTTTCTTTAACTGTTTGTGTTATTTAATTTTAATAAAAAAAAATATGTTGTGTTTGAAATGAGCCCTATGCCGAGAAGAGCCTGACCACCAAGAAAAATCATTACTGAAAGAAACATTTTATCTTTACTTCTTTTTATGAAATACCATGAAACTTTTACTCTTCTAATGAACATTTTACGAACATTTTATAAAACTTTTTTTTAATCATACATTGTACATCATGGTTCTTATCTATCATTTTATTCTTATTTTCATGGAACTTTTAATCTTTATATTTTATAAATGGAACTTTATTGACTATTTTTAATGAGTATGGAAAATCTATTTTAATTTTGGAAAAGTTTAATATAAAACCACAAAGAGAACCAATATTGTTTCGTGGGCCGAGGTGACAAGGGAGAGTTCCCGGCCCCGCGCACGACTTCGAGCTAGAGTTCCAGAGTCCCAGGTTCCAGGGCTGGACTCGAGAGGTTGTGGTGCGCAGGAAAGGTGGTCTCGGCAATAGAGAGCCAAGTAATTAAGATCATGTATACGAGAGAAAAGGTGGTTCTATATTATATATATATATATATATATATTATATATATATATATATATATATATATTATATATATATATATATATATATATATATATATATATATATATATATATATATATATATATATATATATATATATATATTATATAGTTCTCTTTACTGTGTTTTATGTCTGTTTTATGTCATTGTCGTGCTTTAGTGCTTGTGTTTTCGTTTGTGCTTTAGTGTTTGTTTTACTGTGTAGTTTATTATGTCCGTGTTTCGTTTTATGTCATGTTTTACTTTGCTTTTATTAAATAAATAGCTCAGTTTATTATAGTTTTTGAAAGTCCCCGACCATTGTAAGAAGGAAGGCTGAACACGACCTTAATATATTTTAATCTAAACAATCTAAAATCCTAATGTATAGATAAAGCATCTATACACGCCTCTCCTCGGATTCCAACCACGCTTACCCTCCTTTTGGCTCATTTGCACAACGACACTTCACACACACACACACACACATACATACACTACTGCCGCTCCTTTCCAGCAGTGAGATTTACACCTCTTTGAGCCAGGTACGAATATTGATTAGCGAATGATACAATCTGACACGTTTTTCAGTAGATATATTGGACTTCACCCCCTTGAACCCACTTTCAGGGGGGCTGCCGCCTCCCCACCCCCGCATTGTCAGCAAAATATTTACCTCGTATATTCCGGCAGGAGAGAGCCCAGACCCAGAAAAAGTATTAACCACATCTTACCTTATGCATTAACGCCAGACGGGCCAGGCTGCGGGTCACTGGGATCGTCGGGATATTCCAGGCCGTCGTTGGCGGGAATTGCGATCGCTTACAGTAAAGTTACACTACTTCCTTCCTTTTGTTTTTGGACCCTTTTCCATTCACCACAAACCAACTGGTTTCTGTAATGACACGGTGTCTTACAGTGTTGGCATTGTACTTCCACTGGAAGTACACCGTGATCTCGTAGATATAGTAAGCTTGCTTCGCTATTTTGTTGATATTTCGCGAAGAAATTGAAATAATTGTTCTTACATCTTACACACTGCCTAGCCATGATGGAACTGATTTGAATTTCAAATGGCTTCTCTTTGGCCCAGCTTCTATTGTCATTATTCCATATCTGACTAGTTCTATTGAATGGCTATGTTCACGTCACGTTCACGCTCGAATCTAATTGGCTTCTTTGATTTCCCTCGCATACGTCATCCGCTACAAATCCGTCCGATTTTCCGTCGCTTTTTAACAAGAGTTGATATGATATATTTCATAGTGAAATTTTTCTTCCTTTCTGTTTTACGTTTATTCATTCAGCAGCGTTTGCTTTTGCTTTTCCTTCGCTTTTCACGTTTAACTTTGCAAACACCTTTTATTTTATAGAATTTATTTATATTTGATAAGTACCTTCAATGGCAATTTTACAGATCTGCATATTGATTTAAATCTTTTGGGAAGGGTCATTTCGGACTATTCAGGGAACCCCTCGAAATTAGCTTTAAGCTGGCACCTAAGTTAGAAATTCCTTTTATTTGCCATTTTCATTTCTTTATAAACCGATAATATTAATTGTATGAACAATATATTCAATCCCCATCTTTGAACAAAAACATACTTCTGAATTAGTTAACAGTCACCTAGCACTCATGCAAAGAAATATAGGGGATTTTATAGGGAAATTTATACAGAAGTAATATCCCTTACCCTGAAACTTTCCAAACTAGTTTTTAATAAAATTGGCCACTCGAAAAAAGGAATAGATAAATGAAGACTAATTCCAACCGAAATCAAGTGCATATCTAACTTAACTTTTAAAATCATCCTTTACTGAAATACTCTTGTTAACTTAATAGCTGTTATAACCAAAAATAAATTATCGTCATATCTTTACCAGAATATTGCCAGTGTCATTGCAACAATTACAAAGATCTTTCCACAACTGCTATTGTTGCAATGGTAATGATAATGTTATTCAAAGAAATAAATGTAGAAACTAGAAGCACTCAGAAAGCGCATACCTCCGCCAAGGTAATAGGGTCACTAAAGCAATAGAAACATTCGCACTTGAAGAATTACATTAAAATCACCTTTTCTCAGGTACACTGGTAACATCTGTGAGCATTGACTGAGGTAATAAAGGTAATAATAATAATTATAGTTATTCCAACCCTGAATTTTAAATAAATCTGTCCATAACTTTTTGAGTGACTATACTAATAAACAAACTAACCAACGCTACCAAAAACATAACCTCCTTTACGGAAGTAACAATACTAATATATAAACATAATAACAAGTTACAGCAGTAATAAACAAAGCAGCTTCATGAAAATCCGATTATTTTTTTCTTTGGCTAGAAAAATGGGAAATCATGGCATTTTCCCCAAAACTTAATAATTCGTCAGAGAAATCTTTAAGTATTCTCTGCACAGTTCCAAGTATATATTTTACTTATCTAAGTCACCATCATTCGATCTCCGTCGCTGATGGAATATATATCTGTGTAAGAAGTACCTTCAGTGAATATTTTACAAATCTGCTTTTGGATTAAAACCTTTTGCGAGGGGTCATTTCGGACTCTTCAAGGAACATCTTGAAATTAGCTTTAAGCTGGCACTCAAGTTAGGAATTCCTTTTATTTGCCATCCAAGGTAACGATTTTTTTTTTTTCTGTTCATTCAATATCTTTCTTTCCTTATCTAATGGATGTCTTCGTACACTTTGACTCATTTTTTGTTCAACAAAAGTTAGTTAACCGCAAAAGGAGATATCATCCTCGGGCTATAATCGATCTTATCTACCAGCAGCCAGGTTGGTTCCAGCGGACCCCAGGCTGCTGACTGTGTACCTGATACACCACAGTTGTAATGACGTCAACATTTTTTAATGCAAATGTAACAGAAACAGAGCGATCACCATACCGTGAAGGAAGTCTGCACTGCACACCGCTTGAAGCCAAGGCGGATCCTCTGCGTCGGTGGCTCCAGCGGAGAGTTGCCCTTCCCTGCAGCCACCACGGAGCCCTCCCTCATGCCCAGCTCAACTTCGACGCCTCCCAGCTGGAAAACGGGCCTGAAGCTGTCCTTGGAGACCAGCGTCAGATTCAGCGTGTGACGACTCCCGGAGGAGCGAGGGAGAGGGACGAAGGAACACTTCTTCCCCTCGACCTCCCACTTCAGCGTCCCTTCAGGGCAGTGTTTGGCGAACTTGCCATCGCTTATCTCTACTTTCTTCAACATGCATTTGGGGGAAATTTCCTGGCCGATCCACGACTGGCCTTGGCCATCGAGCAGCTCGTAAGTGTCGCCGAATTTCAGCTCAAGGTCCGTCCATCCCTCTTCAGCTGGCGGCGCTGGCATCACCGTGGTGGTCAAGTTGTTACCATGGAATCTCTCCATTGTCACGCCGTCACCGGACACGTCAAAAGAGTCGCTGTACCAGTCCCCGTCACATGTCAGCTTGGCCTTGAAGATGCTTCCGCTCGGAGGAGTGTAGACCGTGAACTTGACAGATCCAACTACGAGGTCGTCAAAGTTCAACGAGTCCTGCACGACGCAGCCTAAGAGAAGGCAAAAGGGATCTTTTATATAATGAAGAGTGATAGGATTAATATCCGCCAATCAATTCCAGTCTCTAAAACAAAGGCGCAATCTAACCGTAAAGCCGACATTTTCTTGAGTTTAAGCTACAAAATATTAGGAAGGAGTGCACACGTTATCCTATTACCCTTATGTTTATGTTTGCACACAACTTCATCTTGGCTATGGGCCACTCACATTCGTTTTTTCTCCGTTTTCTACACAGAAAGACAAATATTCAAAACTCCTGATACAAAAAAATGGAAAAAGTTGACCAAACCTAATTTAATTTGCAGAGTACAATGTATGCTTTACTGTCCTTCAGCGTTTGCCTTCAAGAATGTTACAGAGGTTCCTCACCGTCCTTCACAGCGAGAGCGTGGCCAGCGGTCGACCACAGCAGTGACCACAAGGCCAGGGTCCTAAGTGCCAACATGGCCGTGTCCTGCCTCTTCGAAATCGAAGGAGCAACTGGAGGACTCGAGGGCAGCTGCTCATCATCCACGTCTATCTCCATCATCTAGAAGGAGATATTTACACCACCATGACGTCATGCCACAAGCCGGATCTCAGAACTTTGATTACAGCTGCTCCCTCCACCAGCCGGGGATCCCCATGGCAAACATCCTCAATGCACATCGTTTATAAAAGAGAGCAGAAGACAACTTCGCATATGTATACATATATGTATACTTATATCCATATATATATATATATATGCTCTATATATATTATATATTATACATATATTACATATATGTATAATATATGCTATATGTATATTAAATATGTAATATATATATATATATATATATATATATATATATATATATATATATATATATATATATTATATATATATATATATTATATATATAATATGGCATATATATTATATGTAATATATATAATATATATATAGATATATTATATATATCTATCTATCTATCTATCTATATATATATATGTATATATATATATATATATAATATATATATATATATATATATATATATATATATATATATATATATGTATGTATATATTAGTTTCCTGTTTTGGAGATTTTACTGCATCCCAGGATTCCGGGAAAAACAAGACTTTTCTCTGGATCCCGGGATTTCTCGTAGCAGATAACTTTTGCTAATACTGGCATTACCGTCTCGTGCTCCTCGTCTGTTATAAATGAAATTATGGAATAACCTGTGCAATATTATTGTGCATATGCTCAAGAACATACGTAAAATAATTTGGACATCATATTCCGCAAAAGATCTCGGAGTCCCGGGATGGAAACCCTAATATATATGTATACATATATCTGTGTGTGTCGGAGAGAAAGTGAAAGGGTGAAGGAGGAGAATAATATTTTCTACCAAACTACCTAGGTGCTAATTTGCTCTAGCGCCCCCAAAAAAAAAAAAAAAATTGTAGCTTATATCTCTTAGTTTTTTTCTCTCTTTTATATATATATATATATATATATATATATATATATATATATATATATATATATATATATATGTATATATATATATATATATATAGTAGATATAGATATATACATATGTGTGTGAGTGCGAGTGTGAGTGTGTGTGTGTGTGTTTGTGTTTGTGCGTGTGTGTATGTGCATGTGTGTGTGCGTGCGTGCGTGTGCGTGTACGTGTGTGTGTGTGTGTGTGTGTGTGTTGTGCGTGTGTGTGTTTGTGTGTGTGTGTGTGTGTGTGTGTACGTGTGTGTGTGTGTGTGTGAGTACGTGTGTGTGTGTGTGTGTGTGTGTGTGTGTGTATGTGTGTGTGCGTGTATGTGTGAGTACGTGTGTGTGTGCGTGTGTGTGTGTGTGTACGTGTGTGGGTGGGTGTGTGTGTGTGTGTGTGAGAGAGAGTGTGTGTGTGTGTGTGTGTGCGTGTGTGTGTGAGTACTTGTGTGTGTGTGTGTGTGTACGTGTGTGTGTGAGTACGTGTGTGTGTGTGTGTTTGTGCGTGTGCGTGTGTGTATGTGTGTGTGTGCGTGCGTGCGTGAGTGTGTGTGTACGTGTGTGTGTGTGTGTGTGTGTTGTGCGTGTTGTGCGTGTGTGTGTGTGTGGTGCGTGTGTGTGTGTGTGTGTGTGTACGTGTGTGTGTGTGTGTGTGTGTGTGCGTGTGTGTTTGAGTACGTGTGTGTTACTGTGTGTTCCAGTATCTATATAAAAACGTACTTTTTATATGCATTTACTAACATCGTTTATGCATGAAAGCATGTAAGTGCATACATACATGCATGTACGCACTTGTATGCATCTACTTATGTGTATATATGTTGCATAAATATATGTATATAGTGTAATCTAATGCTAAGCAGATCTCATATGTCCATATGTATATATAAATAGATATATGTGCATATAATTATATATATCGACTTTTCATATCTGAAATATGGGAAAATCACGTCTTTTAAAACTCTTATTTCATTCCATTCGTTAAAAAGACTTCTTTTGATATAAATTTACATAATTGACATATTTGCGGCAAGGGCCATATATTTTTAATGCTTCGGACATCACAGATAGTCCATTTAGATTTTTTTTTTTTTTTTTTTTTTTTTTTTGGGGGGGGGTTACCTCGTGAAGTCGATCTGCCTCTTAAATTATCGAAAAAAAAGTAAAATGATCCCCGGCTGGTGGAGGGAGCAGCTGTAATCAAAGTTCTGAGATCCGGCTTGTGGCATGACGTCATGGTGGTGTAAATATCTCCTTCTAGATGATGGAGATAGACGTGGATGATGAGCAGCTGCCCTCGAGTCCTCCAGTTGCTCCTTCGATTTCGAAGAGGCAGGACACGGCCATGTTGGCACTTAGGACCCTGGCCTTGTGGTCACTGCTGTGGTCGACCGCTGGCCACGCTCTCGCTGTGAAGGACGGTGAGGAACCTCTGCAACATTCTTGAAGGCAAACGCTGAAGGACAGTAAAGAATACATTGTACTCTGCAAATTAAATTAGGTTTGGTCAACTTTTTCCATTTTTTTTGTATCAGGAGTTTTGAATATTTGTCTTTCTGTGTAGAAAACGGAGAAAAACGAATGTGAGTGGCCCATAGCCAAGATGAAGTTGTGTGCAAACATAAACATAAGGGTAATAGGATAACGTGTGCACTCCTTCCTAATATTTTGTAGCTTAAACTCAAGAAAATGTCGGCTTTACGGTTAGATTGCGCCTTTGTTTTAGAGACTGGAATTGATTGGCGGATATTAATCCTATCACTCTTCATTATATAAAAGATCCCTTTTGCCTTCCTCTTAGGCTGCGTCGTGCAGGACTCGTTGAACTTTGACGACCTCGTAGTTGGATCTGTCAAGTTCACGGTCTACACTCCTCCGAGCGGAAGCATCTTCAAGGCCAAGCTGACATGTGACGGGGACTGGTACAGCGACTCTTTTGACGTGTCCGGTGACGGCGTGACAATGGAGAGATTCCATGGTAACAACTTGACCACCACGGTGATGCCAGCGCCGCCAGCTGAAGAGGGATGGCCGGACCTTGAGCTGAAATTCGGCGACACTTACGAGCTGCTCGATGGCCAAGGCCAGTCGTGGATCGGCCAGGAAATTTCCCCCAAATGCATGTTGAAGAAAGTAGAGATAAGCGATGGCAAATTCGCCAAACACTGCCCTGAAGGGACGCTGAAGTGGGAGGTCGAGGGGAAGAAGTGTTCCTTCGTCCCTCTCCCTCGCTCCTCCGGGAGTCGTCACACGCTGAATCTGACGCTGGTCTCCAAGGACAGCTTCAGGCCCGTTTTCCAGCTGGGAGGCGTCGAAGTTGAGCTGGGCATGAGGGAGGGCTCCGTGGTGGCTGCAGGGAAGGGCAACTCTCCGCTGGAGCCACCGACGCAGAGGATCCGCCTTGGCTTCAAGCGGTGTGCAGTGCAGACTTCCTTCACGGTATGGTGATCGCTCTGTTTCTGTTACATTTGCATTTAAAAATGTATTTAAAATCCAGGGTTGGAATAACTATAATTATTATTATTACCTTTATTACCTCAGTCAATGCTCACAGATGTTACCAGTGTACCTGAGAAAAGGTGATTTTAATGTAATTCTTCAAGTGCGAATGTTTCTATTGCTTTAGTGACCCTATTACCTTGGCGGAGGTATGCGCTTTCTGAGTGCTTCTAGTTTCTACATTTATTTCTTTGAATAACATTATCATTACCATTGCAACAATAGCAGTTGTGGAAAGATCTTTGTAATTGTTGCAATGACACTGGCAATATTCTGGTAAAGATATGACGATAATTTATTTTTGGTTATAACAGCTATTAAGTTAACAAGAGTATTTCAGTAAAGGATGATTTTAAAAGTTAAG